ACGACCATACAGGGAATGACTTGATGATATCACTGATTTGTGTGGTCACAATTGTCGAGATCTGGCCCACCTTGCGCAGAGCAGATACCAATGGAAGAATCTCATCCGTACGGTGGTTAGCTCCAACGGGCATTAAGCCTATGGGACATCAAGATCAAGATCAAGATCAAGAATCTATCACCGAAAATATATATTAGTGAAAACTATTTTCTTTCTCTTGCGTTCTGTTTTTTGTTCTCGGATGCTACTATAAATAGACAATAGATTCTACTCATTACTTGCATTTCATTTTTCAAATTCTAAGTCTATATACACATATAACTATTTGTCTTTATTAACTATTATAAACAATAAAAGAAATATTGTCTATTGAAATTTCTTTTTTGTTTAAAAATGACTGCTAAAAGAACTAAAAAAAAATGCTATTATACCAAATGGTTTGAGTGAAGATGAGGTGGAATCATTTGAGTCCGAAGATGAAATGAATAATGTGACACTTGCTTTACGAAACGAATTAAATATGAGCGAAAAATCTTCAACAAGTGAAAGTAATTGTGGAGAAAGTAATAGTGCAGCAAATAATATTGAAGAAAGTTAAGAAAAGATCGAAATTAATCAAAAATTGAAAAAGAAAAAAAAGAATGCGTTGTGTCAAAAAGAATTTGCAGCTCCAGCAGCTGGTTTTGTTGACAATATGCCACCACCTATTCGTGATGAACTACAACCGATCGACTATTTTTATTTTTTGTTCGGCAAGCGATCAACAACACTCTTGACAAATCAACCAAATCTATATGCTGTTCAAAAAAATTCTAACAAACCGGTACGTATTTCTGAAACAGAAATGGAACATTTCGTTAGTAATTGTTGATGACAGGTATTTATTCTTTTCCAAAACAACGTTATTTTTGGTCTAGTAATACACGTCTTTAGTCTATATCTTCAGTTATGAGTAGAGATCAATTTCTTGAAATCAAAAAATCTTTACACGTTACCGATA